GAATCATTGGATGTTCCCGAAGTTCAAAGTGCCGAGGACTAATACCAAGTCATGATTTATTTTCGAAGCCTTGACAAAGTTATTGGGGAGATGGAATCTCGGTTTGAAAGTAATAACTAGGAGGTTCTGTGTGCTCTTAGTGATTTTATATTAAGCTCTTCACCTTCCCCTTTCTAGCCTTGATATTATCAGCACATTCTACTCACTCGACAATTCCAGCCACATGATGCACACCAGAGAGCTCATTCAGTGCGCTACCTCGAATGAAAACATACCTCCGCACACCCATGGGAAAGCAACGTCTCGAGAATATCTTTATCTTGAATATTGAGCGTGCCTATTTCACAAAAGTAATTGAAAATGACATGAACAGAATTATTGATATACAGTGGTCCCTCGGTTAACGAACACAATTCGTTCCACAGTCGTTCGTTAACCTAAAATTTCGTTAACCAAATCCATTGTTTCAATGGGATATTGGGTAATTGGTTCCAGCTCACAGAAAAGTACATACAAAGTAAAAAAAAGATGCAGTAAATTACACTTACTTTGAGGTGTGTATGTAGAAGGTTCCTGGTTGATGAAGATAATGGGAATTAAAAGTGGGGGTGGAGGAGAAGGGAGAAGAGAAGGAAGTGGGGATGCAGTAATTTCACCAATAAAATTTTAAGTTCACCAGGTGTAATCAAGATTGTTTTATTTAAATCAACACTGCACTTTGTATTATCAATATGTTAACTAAATTTCAGAATGACCAATACTTTTGATGTAAAAATGCAAAAATATTCAAGACACCAACAAAATCGATATTCACTCCACTGTAAGCAAAGCCAAACTGACGCCTGGTGGGTGAGTCAAGCTGTTGATGGGCACACAAAAAACTAGTTCCCTGTACTGCATACTGTATATTATCAGTATGTTAACTAAATTTTAAAATGACTAATAATTTTAATATAAAAAATGCAAAAATATTAAAGAGCACAACTTTCTTGATATTTACTCCACTGGAAACGAATGTACACATAGAACATATTACTGAATTGGCAGACTAGCCCATCAGCTGATACTCACACCAAAACGTATTTGTCGTAAGGATTTCGTTAATCGAAGTTTTGTTCGTTAACCGAATTGAAGATCCTTATGGGAGGTAATTCGTTAATCGAACCGTTCGTTAACTGAGGGACCACTGTACTGTATATGGCTAAAGGAAGAATAGGTCATCACACTTCCTTGAAGTAATATTTACTGATGCACTTTTTCTTTTCTTTTTTTATGGGGAATAGCCCACCCGGGCATTTCAATTAAAAAAAGGAGAGGGATTAAATTTAAATTATAAAATTTGGGCAGCAGAGGCTTTATTAGGGTATGTGCCCCCCCCCAAATAAAATCTGCCTTTATGCCCATGTGGGTGTCCTCCCCAACTGACTGGAAACTTATCCCATTGAACCCCATGTTATAATGATCCCAATTGTTGATATTTCGACCTGCGATGGGTTTTTCTAGAACGTTACTCTATCGTAAATAGGGGATACCTGCACTGTATTCCATAATAATAGTGAAAGCGTTTATTATATCGGGGTCCTCACTATCCAAGTCATCGATATCCATGGTTTCACATTTACAAGGCCAATAAAAGGGATATTATCGGTGGAGATAGCATGTTGCCATTATTACAAGTAATGAAACTATAAAAGTTGTGGAATAATAATTACAGTACTCTTAGGTGGTTTAGAAATAAACAAAATATAATACAGCTAGACCCCGACTTACGACTGCTTCGACTTATGACCGCCGGAGTTGTGACCCTTTTTTTTTTCATTTTTTTTTTCTCCAAATGACACACGCATTTTCTATACTGAAACGTTTCCAGTTAATGTAGTCTCCATGTATAATTAGAAAATTATGGGGGACCCATGTGCATTCAGCTGACTACATTACGTAAAGGTAAGTGCTCAGTCGCACTGTATCCATTCCTCATTATTTATTACTTTCACTGTACTGTAGCCATTCCTCATTATTTATTACTTTTGCTGTACTGTATTTCATTGTAGATTTTTTATTTAATTATTATTTTTTTTTATATATATCTATGTCGGACTTACAACCATTCGGACTTACGACCAGGATTTGGGTCCCTAACCCCGTCGTAAGTCGGGGTCTAGCTGTATAAAAATATAAAATAAGAACAATTACGAGCATGGTGTGTACGGTATGTATGGCATGTGATTGTGTACGTTAGCTCATGGAGTCAGTGGACTGTAACTGTGTTGTCAACTCGCCACCCAGTAGCACTCAGAGCGGGTAAGGCTGAGTTGTGGTGTACATTATGGTTATTTTTCATCTCATAATTTTGGTTAGGTACAGTATTGTCTCCGTTAACCGGAATCCCTCAGACCCAGAAATCTCCGATAGCCGAAATTTTAATTTTCTAGTTAAATCGTTCCCAAAAGTGGTTTTTGGAACTATTTTCCGAGGGCACATTTTCTGGAAAATTCAGAGAAAATCTCCCAATTCCAGGAAAATTCTGGGAATGGGGAAATTTTTTTTCTGGGTTTGGGAGATGAAAATCAGGTGCCTTTTCCAGAAATTCCGAGAAAATTTTTTCAATGCCCGGAAAATTTCAGGGATGAGGGATATTTTTCCGGGTTTGAGAGACAATGTAATGGGCAATTTCTGGAACTTCCGAGAACATTTTTCCGTAACCCAAAAAATTCTGGAAAATTCTGTGGATGAGGGATTTTTTCCAGCTTTGAGAGTCATCCCGTTACCGGAAATCTCTCATTCCCGGAAGTGCTTTGCACTAATTGTTCTGGCTAACAGAGATATCACTGTATATGTAATTTGCTTCTTTCTTCTTATACTGTTCCATGCACACACACACACAATTATTCATACAGAATGTGAAAAAAAGCCGTTTTTTTCTAAAAACAGTTTTTGTGATATAATCAAAAACATAAAGGTAATAAAATTTTTTTACGTGCACAGGAGTTAGCACACAGAACTGAGGAGGGGAAAGTGGAGCGGTGTGAGGGATCTCGATTGTTCAACAGTATTAAAGGAATTAAAAAAATATTAGGATTTTGGGCAACTTACGTATATAATTATTTCACTTAAATTGTACAGTGAACCCTCACTTTACGCGGTCAATTGAACCCACAGAGGCCCGCGTAAAGCGAGAAACGCGTAAAGTGAACTACATAACATATGGGATTAAATGAAATAGAGACCGGCTGACCCCCAAACTCCACTTTTTCCGACACAATACCTATGTTCTAGTAAAAATAACATCTTAATTTTATGATGGTACATGCACACAATTAATACTTAAGAGAAATAGAGAAATACAGTCGCCAAGTTAATGTCCATTCAAATAATGGACTCAACTCCCTCCCCCTCTTCTCACACTACACTCGCTGGCTCTTCCCTCTCTGAGAAATTTTTGGGGGAAAACCACTAGATTTTAAGGTATAGTAATAAATAATACCTCAAACTAAAGTTAGGATAATATAATTGACATTGCTGGATTCCTTGTAAGACCAGGAATATTTTGAATATAAATGTCATATATTTTGCACAAAAGATAACATATTTACTCGGAGTAAACAAAATACTTACCTTAGATCTAAAATTTGTATGTCTAATGCAAAATCTATGATGTTTATATTCAAAATGATCATCAAATTGTAAGAATTCCAGCAATGTAAATTATATTCTGGCCGGGTAATTTGTATGAATTTTATGAGCTAAAACAAATATCTTCAGTTAATAAAAAAAAAAATTATTCTTCACGACACTATCTGTCAGTCAAAGTACCTCACCTTGCCTTTCCCCCCTCTTCCAACCGCGCCAGATGGTCGGTCGATCCCTCCGTCCCCCCCATCCCCCACCAACCCTCCCTACCAGATAAATGCTTGGGAGAAACCAGAATATTTACCTTTTAAGTAATAAATAATACCTCAGACTAAAGTTAGGATAATATAATTGACAATGCTGGATTCCTTGTAAGACCAGGAATATTTTGAATATACACTTCATATATTTTGCACAAAAGATAACATATTTGCTCTGAGTAAACAAAATACTTGCATTAGATCTAAAATTTGTATGTCTAATGCAAAATCTATGATGCTTATATTCAAAATGATCATCAAATTGTAAGAATTCCAGCAATGTAAATTATATTCTGGCCGGATAATTTGTATGAATTTTATGAGCTAAATAAAAAACATTATACTTCACCCGAGTAAAGGGGTACACGCACCGCGGAATGTGAGCATCCCGGTTCTGGCAGGGTACCTTGTAAACGTGGAAACGTGGAATGTGGGACCTCGTAAAGTGAGGGTTGACTGTATATAAAAAGACCATGATGTTTATGTATCCAAAGGTCAAATATTTCCATAATTCGAACAGGGCTTGGTTGTCCCAAGCAATTCAGATTTGCGAAGTTTTACCCTAGTATTGACCTCCTCCCTATTTGCAGCTAGCTATTCATTAATATGGCTGCCTGGCAAAGGGTACACTTTTAGAGTGAAAGTATTGATCCTGAAATACTGCTTTCTAGCAAAGCCCATAGCGGCAGCTCTGATACCCTCTCTCTTCCTTTGGGTTTGTCAAAACTTGGCTGGACACTAAATTCAAAATGGTAGATTGAGAGCAGCTTTTGAATTTATTTACCCTTTATAAGGATGGTGGTTGTGATTGGGAGAGGTGTGGCCATTAGTTACTACAACCCTTTAAAATGGCAACAGGCTTAGTTAGAAACTGGGATGTCAGATCAGATCTTCCTTTTCTTGTTATTTTGTCTGTGCAGTATCATCTATTGTGCTTGCATTCCTCTCAAAATCATTCTAATTTCATTGTATTAGCAGTCAATAAAGAAAATTGTAGTATTGAAGCAAGCTGATTGCTTTGTAAAGTAAAAAGATTTACATTTAAGAAAATAACAATAAAATTGTTTCTTGACCAGATAAATACTATATCTTAACTTTTCAATTCAACAGCATAACCCCTGGGAAGTGGCATCAGTCATCCTTAGTAGGCTGGAAGCCCTTACTGAAACTGAAGCTGATTTCATTCCTACTGGTGCAGAAGTAAAGGCCAGTTAATAATGCAGAAAATTATAAAAACTTGTGATCCAAACACACAATACTGTACTGTTCAAGTATGTTTATGTAAATGAGTTTGATATGTGAATTTTTCTAATAAATTTATAGACTCAAGTATTTTTTTGGGGGACTTTTTCAGGCTATACTGCATGGATCAGAATTGGGTGCATAAACAAATCCTACTGCCACTCTACCTGCTGTATCTCTATAAGTCTCTTGGTGTTGGCTAACCCAAGCATATGTGGAAAATGGCCATATAAAGAAGACAGTGATGCCAAGCTCTCCTATTATTCACATGCTTCCTGGATATTCATTCCCCCTCACTTCTTATACTTCTTCATCCCATCCTTTTCTCTCTAAATCTAACCCACTCCCTGATTTTTACCACTCTTTCAATATACAGTAAAAGTCCAAAAATCCGGATGCCAAAAATCCGGACCACCCGAGAATCCGGACTTTTGGAAAACTAATTTTTTTTTTTTTTTTTTTTTAGCGGGCTTTTGTGTGTATGTGCGCATGCGTGAGCGCCACAGCTGCACAGCGACAACAAGCGACCACGTGGTCTCCACTTTAAAACGAGCAATCAAACTGTGACAACATACCGTATATACTCATCTATAACCCCCCCTCGTTTATCTGTCGACCCTGATTTTTTGACCAAGAAATCGTTAATTTATGATATTCCTCGTTTATAGTTCGACCCACGTTTTTGAGGGTAAGGGAACAACAAAACCTTCAGTAAAAACGCTCTACGTCCTATAAACTGAAACACGAGTGCCCAAGGCAAATTGTTTACCATTTATTATTAAAACACTTTACACTGAAACGCGGGTAGTTTCAACAAAAATATTGTATATTTCCATTCAAGTATTTATTCAAGTCAATTAGGAGGGAATATTATTGTAATACAACAGTTTTTTAACTAAACCATTCGAAAAGTGATTACGGTAACATCTTTTGAACGAAAGAAAGCGAAAGTCATTGTTTTCGTCACGATTTTATCCCACTTTCCACTTTAATACGTACGTCATTTCAACAAAAATATTACATTTCCGTGAATGTATTATATCAAGCACAGTATGAATAGAATATCATTGTAATATAACAGAATTTTAACCGAAACTATTAAAAAAACGAGTAACATCTCAAGAACATCGGAAGCTTAGGTAAAGTCTTTTGTTTCCCTCATGTATTTTATCCTATTTTACGTTGAAATACATCACGTTTCAGCAAAACTACTATTTATTTCCGAGAATATATTCATTCAGGCGCAGTTTAGGTAAAATATACGTGTGATGTAATAGTTTTTTAACTGAAAACGATTCGAAAAACACGTACCCTCATGCCCTGTTCAAGGAGAGGACTGGGAGAAGAAGCTGTTTGGTGCTGCAGACGATGACAAAGAAAATGATTTTGATGGATTTTAATGAAAATATTCAGAAATATGGTATCGTAATATTTATTCAAGTCAATTAGGATATTATTGTAATACAATACAACAGTTTTTTAACTAAACCATTCGAAAAGCGATTACGGTAACATCTTTTGAACGAAAGAAAGCGCAAGTCATTGTTTTCGTCACGATTTGATCCCACTTTCCACTGTAATACGGACGTCATTTTAGCAAAAATATTACATTTCCGTGAATGTATTATATCAAGCACAGTATGAATAGAACAATATTTTGAGTCTTACTCTTTCCATTTACAGATTACTGTACAAGCCCATAATAATGGCTCCTAAAGTAGATAAACTTCGTTGTGTGAAGAGAAAGAAGAACACATTGAAATTGAGTGACAAACTTGAAATACCGGTAATTAAGAAACTAGTACGTGGTGTGAGCAATACTGTTCTAATGGAAAATACAACATTGGAAAGTCTACAATTTATGATATCAAAAAGGCAAAGAATAAAATTCTAGAATTCACAGCTTTTTCTTTAAAACTGCTTGTGTTGATAAATGAACCATGCTATATTTGCTAATGAATAAACTATCAAAATGTACCTGTTCATCTCTTCTTTATTCCTCCTTAAATTTTAATTTTAAAAGTACTGCCTGAGAATCCGGAAAATCCGAAAATCAGGACCGACCCAATCCCCAAGCAGTCCGGATTTTTGGACTTTTACTGTATTCACATCACCTTAGTAAACCCTGTGGTCAGCTTGTTGTTTGACACTGTTTTCATTTCCACAGCCCCTTTTTTTTTTTTATTCTCTCCACCTTATTCATCTCACACATTACTTTCATGCACATAATATCTGTTGCTTCTGATAAGCTGATTCTCTTTAGTCAGGTGTCCATGCTTCATTTCTCTACACAACTCCAACTATTGTTTCCTTTGACACAGTCATCTCTCTAAGTGCATTTCTTAATGCAGCTACATTTTTTTCCCACTTCTACTTTCTAAATTGAATCATCATTATCACTTCTTTTAGCCTAAATACCCTCTCCAAAATATTTGGAACATTTTCCCTCATCCATTCTATATCATTCAAGCTAACATTTATGTCTCCTTATCTGATTCCCTAATGAGAAAATAATAAATCTGGGACAAAAATGCAGATTGATTACTTCTCATTAGGAAATCAGATAGGATGCTTGCTTTAGCAGGGGAAAAATGTGCCTTGCAGCAGACTGCTTGTGTGTAACATATTGTTTAAAAAGTGCAGAGAAATGAAGGTGCATGTTTCAAGAAGGTGAGTGTGCAAGTTGAAGGAACAGAATTTAAGAGAAGCATTTTATCCAGTGACAGTGAGAGGGGTAGTGTAACAAAATGCTGGGCCAAAATAAAGGATGTTCTACTGAGCATTGCTGACAAGATGTGTGGCTGGACAAAGGGACCAGCCAGGCATGCAGTAACACAATGGTGGAATGATGAAGTAGACAGAGTGATGAAGGAGAAATGAAGATTGTTATAAGGCCTGGACAATAGGTGGTGACAAGAACAAATACAGTACATGGAGGCTAAACATAAGGCTAGAAGAGAGGTTTACTATGTTAAGAAAAATGAGCAGGATATATTTGCAGATAAGTTGAATAGTGCAGATGCAAGAGGAGAGGTTTACAGAATAGCCAGACAAATATTGGGTAGAAACAAGGATGTTGGTGAGCAGTGTGTTATAAATGACTGTGGTAACATGGTGGTTGATAACAAGGAAGTCAAGATTCCTGGAGAAAATATTATGATCGATTTTTCTCTCTCTCTCTCTCTCTCTCTCTCGGAGAATACCCCACCCGGGCACTGGTCATCGACCCACAACTGGGCCTAAGGGGAGAAAAAATAAGATTAAAAAGAAATTTAAATCAGAAGAGAAAAAGACTATACAGTACAGCTACTCCCCGACTTACGACCTACTCGACTTTACGACCACCCGGACATGCGACTGCCTCAGTCGTACCAAAATTTTTTCAAATTACGTATTTTTGAGTCCCAACGTCTGATTGCACTGTGTACTGACAAAATTTTCGTTTGTAATTCACTTTAAAATGGCTGGCAAGCTTAAAAGTGAGAGTTTTGTGGTGCTGAGAAGAAAAAGAGACTACCCATTTTAGATTTTCTATGTATTATTTAAGTATTTTCGACTTACGACCTGGATTTGGGTCCCTAACCCCTTCGTAAGTCGAGGAGCAGCTGTACAGTATTAATCTACACCACAAAGAAGTTGGAAAACCAGCATTTTGAAGTGAGACAGATTGTATGAGTATGGAAACACAGAAGAAGGCAGAACATTCCACAGTTTGGCTGTTGAGGAAAGAAGGATGCTCTATAACGGGTTATTTTAGTGTGACCAACATCCACACAGAAACGGTGGGCACTGCAAACAAGACTAGTGTTACGAGCCCATTACCTTCTTGGTGGTACACATATTTCCCGTTTAAGTACTTGTAAAAAAGAAAGTGAAGCAACATTGCAGCTAAGAGAAAGGGAAGAGAGATTATTGACTAAAGGAGGAGAGTTAATAAGATTAAATGCGTTTGATTCTACCCTATCGAACAGTTGGGCAGAAGAAGAACCACCCCAGATATGAGAGCAGTACTCAAAGTTAAGACAAATGAATCCCTTATAAACTTTAAACAACTGCTCAGGAGTGAAGTAGCTACAACATCTGTACAGCATTCCCAACTTTAGGGATGCAGTATTAGCAATGTTGTGGTTGTGTGGCTTCCATGACATATACGAGGAAATGGTGAGGCCTAGCATATCTGTTTTAGAATTTGGCAGAATGATTGCATCCTGAAACGTGATTGTTGGGAGATCATCTAAATGGGAAAGTGTTAATGGTAAGTACAGGCTACTGTGCTTTATTACTATTGAATTTAACCAAGTTTCTACTTCCCCATTCAGAGATGCTGCACAGCTCCACATTGACAGATGAAATGATATCAACTCTAGAAACAGATCTAGTTTGAGAGAGTGACGAGTAGAATCATCAATGTAAAAATGGATAGAATTAGTAGTACTGTGAAGTATATCATTGATAAAAAGAAGGAACAGAGTAGGTGAAAGAACAGAATTCTATGGAAAACCACTATTGGTAGAGAAAGAGCTCTGGGATAGATGCAGAAATGATGAAATCATCAGGTGATATAGATGTGTCAATGGTGACTGAATTGATTTACGCAACCATAATGGATTGTACTGTTCCAGACGACTGAGGGAAGAGTGTGATTGTAAATACTTACAAAGATAAAGGTGTTGCACTAGAATGCAGAAACTACGGAGGCCTGCAGCTGCTAGATCAGGTTGTAAAAGCTGTAGAAAGTGATTGAAACTTTGATAAGGGAGAGAGTAGATATAAACAAAATTCAATTTGGACTTAAGCCAAGGCATTTGACAGGGTACTATGTGAGCAATGAGAATGCTAGGAGTTGAGGAGTGCCCTGTGTGAGTGGATATGGTATTATAGGAGGGCTCAAAAACATGTGAGAGTAAATGGTGAGGAATCTGTGGTAAAAGTAGGAACCCATCAGGGATCTGTATTCAGCCCCCATTCTCTTTATCATGGTGCTGGAGGCAATGTTACATGACTTTAGGACTGGCCTGCCCTGGAAGTAGTTGTATGTAAAATCCCAAACCCACCAATCTGAATCTCATGATAACTTTTTGTGAAGC